ATAATACACCGGGCACCTTCTCTCCTTTTCTCTCTCTCGTATCCTATTACTGCATCTTGCTAACTCAGCCATTCTGGATGTCACTAACTCAGCTTCTTCTCCAGAGCCTTTGTGCTCCACTGTCTCTCAGGTTAACTCGTATTGCAGCGGTGCCTGGACAGCGTGACGTGTGTGGTTGTGCTGCTGCCGTGGTCCTGCCAGATGCCTCCTGCTGCTGCTGCCATCATTAGTCATTAGTCATACTTCTATTGTTATTATACACATATGATTATTATCACACATGTATACTGCCAGATACTAATATATATTTTCAACATATTGTACCACAGTAGCCAGAACTATAACAATAATATTATTACTTTCATTAATGTTGTTGTAAGCTACTGTCATTACCTGCATCTCTCTCTCTGTCTCTCTCTCTCTCTCTCTCTCTCTCTCTCTCTGTCTCTCTTTCTGTCATACGGATTACTGTTAATTTATTATGCTGATCTGTTCTGTACGACATCTATTGCACGTCTGTCCGTCCTGGAAGAGGGATCCCTCCTCAGTTGCTCTTCCTGAGGTTTCTACCATTTTTTCCCCCGTTAAAGGGTTTTTTTTGGGGAGTTTTTCCTTATCCGCTGTGAGGGTCCAAAGGACAGAGGGATGCTGTATGCTGTAAAGCCCTGTGAGGCAAATTGTGATTTGTGATATTAGGCTTTATAAATAAAATTGAATTGAATTGAACACAATTAACAGCGCTAAAGGGGTTTTGTAGCTCAAAATGAAGCCACTTACTCACTGTTGATACCTGGGGGGACACTGGAGGCTGACCACAATGTATCACAGAAATGCTGTGCCTTCACCAGGACAGCATTACCATTGGTAATTGCCAAATGAGCGGCACGCAAGCTAATATTAGGTCAGACCCAACTCAGGTGCTGCGCAGTGCAGAGCTAACGTTAGCTAACCAGTGGAGACTGGAGGGTGGGCCATGGGTGCTTTCCACTTGTTAAAAGGATAGTGCACGCAAAAATGAAAATTCAGCCATTATCTACTCACCCATATGCCGAGGGAGGCTCAGGTGATGGTTTAGAATCCTCACATCCCTTGCGGAGATCCAGAGAGGCCGTTAGAGCTACAGCCTACAATGCGGCTAAAAACAGAGTTCAAATGACGTTTTTCCAAACAACTTTTTATGTCTGGGCTTCAGGACACTAGGATCACTACGGACAAGCAATATGGAGATATTTTGTGGTTTCAATTATGTGTTTTTGGACGTTTGAACCTGAGGCGCCGTGAGCCTCCATTAGGTGGAGTTGTGTTGCTACCCCTCTCCCCTGGGATCTCCGCAAGGGATGTGAGGACTCTAAAACTTCACCTGAGCCTCCCTCCGCATATGGGTGAGTAGATAATGGCTGAATTTTCATTTTTGGGTGCACTATCCCTTTAATGTTGTTAGCCGACTGTCTGTCAGCAAAGCCAGCAGAAAACAAAATAAAAGCCAAGACATTTACATCACAAAACATTATAATTTCAGCACCTCTTAATGGTCAGAGCTTTGAAATGCAGTACTTAAGCTCACTTAGTCAGTAGAGCGCCACACTAAAAAGAGAGACCTTTTGTATTTCATGTAATTTTTAGTTGTTTTTTTTTTTCTAAAAATCAACCAATTTGTTGCTAAAATAATTGATGTCAGGCTATTGTAAGCAAAATTAACTGTAACTGACATCCCTCATTACAATGTTTCATGTTGCTGTTTAGACTGACAACAATTTAGAACCAGTGGTGTAGTGGTTGTTAGGTGGTGTACTACACGGGTAGGTTACAGAGGAGGAAGTGGGTATACTCTCCTATATATTCCAACGGCTTTTTGGGTGATAGTTGGGTATACTTTAAGCAGCTAGACGAGGAGGTGGAATACCCCATATACCTGTGTATACCCTCCACAACACCACTGTTTATAACAAATCAGTCAATCAGTGTGACTACATGCACCTAAATTACCAGGTTACTTAGAGAAACCAGGTTAAGCAGATATTCAGAGAGCCTGGTTTATTTGTGTTCCTGCCTGGCTATACAACATTTTGATCTATAACGTGCTCCACAGTGTTTCTGTTGTTTCATCACTGTTAAACAGTTAAATATTACTAGTGAAGGTGGGCAGACTATGAGTGACATCGATGCATGACGGGTGCAGGTTTTCCCCCGTGGGTGTATCACTTTTACGTGATAGTGATAAGACTGGTAGGGAACAGAACCTTACTAAAATCTCTTAAAAAGCAGCTTTAATTTCATGAACAATTTTGAGCACTTAATCATTAATGCATTTTAGTATTCAAATGACAACTCCCCATTTTGATTCTAAATTAAATGCCATATGATCTGGCCCTATTAATATTTTAACATTCAGAATCCTGTGGTTGAGTTTATATATTTTTGCTCACAGTGTCTCAAACTAGTTAGGTTTATTTTTAATTTATTTTGCTTCATCATGTATAATTGCGGCACAGTGGTGCAGTGGTTAGCATTATTCCCTCACAGCAAGAAAGTTCCTGTGTCGTAGGGGAGCCCTTCTGTGCAGAGTTTGTATGTTTTCCCCATGTCATTGTGAGTTTTCTCCGGGTTCTTTCCACAGTCAAAAGACATGCAGGTTAATTGGTGACTCTAAATTGGTGGAAAGTATGAATGTGAGTGTGAATGGTTGTCTGTTTCTATGTGTCAGCCCTGTGATAGTCTGGCAACCTGTCCAGACTGTACCCCACCTCTCATCCAATGTCAGCTGGGATAGGCTCCCTGTGACAGGATAAGCGGCTATGAAAAATGAATGAATGAATGGATGAAGGAATGATGGAATGCATAATTACAGGTCCATTGTCATTATGACATTTTTATTGTTATAATTACAGATCATGGTGATTTTACAATAACCTCCTTGTTCTCATAATTATATCAACACTCTTTCATTATGAATCTAGGAAAGCGAGCCATTTCTATCTGAAAATGATTTCATGTATGTGGTTCACAGTAACACGTCTGGGTCATTGTCCAGCTAACTATTATTAAGTTGCACTTTTGCATGTCTGAGCTTAATGACTTGTTGCTCTGTCAACATTTCCAGATATAAACTGAACTAGCATCAAAGAACCAAAAAATCCAGTCTCATGTCAAACCATCAACACTCTAATCTGGATAACTCTGTGGACCACATACACAGAACTGAGCCATGGTTACTGTGAATCTACATGCACAGATAAGTGAACAACTCTTATGATATTTTGTAATAATAATCAGTTTGGATTGCAGTTATTGTTCCTTGGTGTCTTTATTAACAAAAAAAAAGACAAAATGAATCCCATACACTTTATTTTACTTTACTTGTTTAAAGAATATTGAACTTTTTCACCACTCATATCATCAGCTGAACTTTTTTTACCAGCTACACACCCTTTCCTCCAACCAAGTGATCTATTTAAACACTGCTTTTCACTGACCACTGCACCATAAACACATCTAACAGCAAACCGTTAACTGCATGTTATCCTAAATGTCAGAATGTTATCTCTGACCCCACAGTAAATGTGTACCCCATGCTACTGACCTACTTCCACTATTCTCCTGAAGGCTCTAACAGTTCAGTGCCCTGAAACTGAACTGATCAGTATGAACTCTGTTTCACCCTCTGCCTGCTCATCTGCCAGGGTCATCAGCCCTCTGCTCTGCTTTCCCTCCTTCTATGGGTTCCAGATTTCTCTCCTATTTTCCTTTTCTCCTCACAACTTATTGATTCTGTAAGGATAATGGAATGTGTATGTGTCTGTGTGTGTGTGTGTGTGTGTCAGGACCACCCACCCTCTGTGTCTACAGAGTAGATACATTAACTCATCATCATTAAGTCATCAGCAAGCTTTACCTGATGCAAATAAACCATAGAGAGCTGCTCTTTATCTCGTCATTTTCAAACACAATCAGATCACTAATGACTTCATTAAACCTTATATTTTCATTATATTTTGTGTTTATTAATTAGTGTGCTTTTATCATGTTGTGATTGCATATCAACATGAGTCCTACAGTAAACCTTTTAGAAATTTTAATCTAAGTTTTCCTTAAAGCGACATGTCTCCCCAGAAATCCAAAAGACATATTTTCCCTCTTAACTGTAGTGCTATTTATCAGTCGAGATGATTTTAGTGTGAGTTGCAGGGTGTTGGAGATATTGGTTGTAGAGATGTCTGCCTTCTCTCTAATGTAATGAAACTAGATGGCACTTGGCTTGTGGTGCTCAAAGCACTAAAAAAAAAAAAGACATTTGGAAAAACTCAGCAATAATGTCTCTTTCCAGAAATCATGACTTGGTTACTCAAGTTAATCCACAGTCCTTGTTGTGAGAAGTTTCATGTAGGAACTATTTTCTTTCCATCGAACCCACACAACTCACCACACAGAAGGAAGCGTGCATCTACTCATGGACATGAGGCTCCTGCTCATGACAGTACATGATGTTAACATCTATGGTGTCATCTGTGGCTGAGCTTTAACTTTAGCTACCTCAGTGGCAGGTGTAGAGTAGATGCAAGCTTCACTCTGCGCAGTGGTATGATTGGTGGATGTAGCTTAGTAGAAAGAAAATATAAAAAGTCATCCCTGGAGCACTCTTTGCAAGTAGCAGATAATGTAGCCTTAAACAGAGATGTGGAGTAGGCTACAGAGCTTTGCTGAGCTCATTTCTTTCTAACTCCACACCACACACACACATTAATCGGTGAGCTTCACCAGTATATTTTTGAACCTTGAAAAGAGCCAAGCTAACTCCCAGCCCATGCTTGCAGTCTTTCTGCTAATCTAGGCTAACCTGATTCCTGCTCTGTAGTTGATACAGACATTCCTGGTATCAAAATCTTCTCCACTCAAAAAACGTGAATTTGTGTTTTTCTTCAAATGGGATATTGTGATATTCTTGTTGTACATTACAATTTAACCCTTTCATTTAAATGAAACAAGAAAAAACAAGATTTTTTGCAAAACAGTTTTATTAAATAAAAAGCCCAAACAGTATTACATAAATCACTTAAATAGGTTGGTGTAAGATACAAAAGTTATATAAACAGACTCTACATTACATATGTACATAATCCTATAGATACACCTCTGAGCTGATTAAAGTGTTCCATGTCTGGGTATAGTGCCTCTCGTTTAGTTTGTTCAAACAAATCATATACAAATCCAATGTATTAACATCATATAAAATGTAAAATACGTTCTTGAGTCATCTACAATATGTACAATTCATGTCATGATATAAAATCTACATTGACATAAGTCCAAAAGATCAGGATAACGAACATAACGTGAAAATGTGGCCTTTGATCAGTTTCTTTTTAGAGCACTGGGAATTTCCAAAAATTCCCCAAGTAGCTATAATTTACTGTAGTTTCCTGTGGATTTGGAGGTAAAACAGCTAATCTGAGACTTTTGGGAGACCTCATAATTCACTCTACACTGGCTTTAGGAAACTAATCATTATCTCGGTTTAATTTTGTTCATAGCTGGTAAATTTGGTTGGCAGATTGTCCACAGGATAGACAGTAGGTCCTGTTTTCATGGTGGGTGGCCCATTTAAAAGAGTCCAGTGACACTTTGTGACCACTTCCACTAGGAAGATCTTCAGCAGAACCTTGGCAAACTCTTTCCCCACACACATCCTGGAGCCCCCTCCGAACGGGATGTACTGGAATCTGGAGGAGTCGGCCGAGGGTTTGGTCATGAAGCGCTCTGGCTGGAAGTCTTCCTTGTTGGGGAAGATCTCTGCCACATCATGGGTGTCACAGATGCTGTAGATGACATTCCAGCCTTTGGGAATTTGGTAACCCTGAAGATGTGATGGGAAATTATCAGTAAGCAGACAGTTTGATACAGGTTTTCAGGTGGGTCTCTTCAATCTGCCATTTACAGATCTGGTTTCAGAGATCTTTGTTAACTTACATTGAGTTCAAAGGTCTTGAGGGCCACTCTGAAGCCTCCAGGAACAGGAGGGTTGATCCGTAGAGTCTCTTTAATGACACAGCCTGTGTATTTTAACTGCTCCAAGGACTCAATGTTCAGACTGTGGAGGTCCATCCCCTGCTCCTCCTGAAAACAGAGACAAATTTGCATGTGAGGAAAAGTGGAGGTCAGTATTAACCAAAGTGTAATGATAGTTGGTGAGGAATGGGATAGTGCTGGCTGTTCATTGAACCCAGACTGGTTTCAGAATAGTGATTTTATATACAGTAGTAATCATAATGATTGAATCAGACCACATACTGAAAACCATCTATTCATACTTCACTTGTTTGCTGGCCTTACAACTTAAGACAAGCCTTGTTACACAGTAACTCAAAGCACATTAAGAAAATCAAACACTGTTCACCTGACCTGGCTTCATGATCTGGCTCCTGATCTGGGTTTAACACATCTGATACTAATTAGCTTTACCAAGAAAGCTTCCGTGTGAACTACTACAACCTGATCTACAGAAATACTGGAAATGACCTGGACTTCTTCACACCACCTTACATAGTGGTGGCACATTTAATGTGTTAAAATGACGTGCCCGCACCACGGAAACAATGCCAGTGGAAAGACAATTAGGATCCTTGGTCATGGTGGACACACAAACTCCCTGGTTCAACAAGTCACGCAATGGGCAGTGGTTACTGTTACAACCTCATAGGTTGTATAAAGAGCAGAGTGGTGGTAGGCTGGGGTTGAGGATGGGTCAAATCACAGGAATTTGACCCAGGAGACAGCTGTTTGTGTCCCATGTGAAACTAAAAGTCAGCACTGACTTTTGATTTTGACTTTACATACTTTATATACTGTCTGCTCAGTTGTCATGGAGATAGCCCAGATATCATCACGTGAGTGAGTTTGACAACTTAGCAAACTGAATTTGCCAAGACGACCATGAGATGGGGTTGAAAGCTCACGAAAAAGGTAGTATGTAGACTCTGAGTGAAGACATTTTTCAGGCAACCACTGTTTGCAAGGTCAGGAGTTACCTTTTCCTGCTCGTGCTTAAGGATTAAACATGACTGTTCATTGTATTATTTTTTGTAAAATGGTCACATGAATGAGACAAACATTAATTTGCACTAGATTGTGTGTTAATGTTCAGCAAAACAAAACAAAAAAAACCCTGCATTCTAACAGCCACTATCAAGAGTCTTGAAACAACAGCATATAGAAGTTAAGTTGTGCAGTGGAATTACCTTGTCCATCAGTTCCTGCCTCAGTTTATCCACAACTTCAGGGTTCAGGCCCAAGAACATGACCAGAGAGGTGGCTGTGCTGGCTGTGGTTTCATGGCCTCCAAACAACAGCTCTGTAGCAGATTCCTTAATGGCCTGGACACAGCAATACAGACAAAAAGAATGGTTCAGTCCCTAACCAAGACAGTGTACTTTACTGGAAGGATAGTGTGTTTTTTCATATGTGTAGTTGGACAAAGTGGATGTGTCCAGATAATGTCTCTACCTGCATGCTGAATGGTTCCCCGTTCTTCTTGCTGTTGTCTATGAGCTGCTGCAGAGCGTCTCTGTGTTTGGACTCCTTGTCTGACTCCTGAACCTTCTTCTTGATGTTCTCTTCTATCTTAGAGTGGATGAAGTTCCTTGCCTTCAGACCCTGGAGGACAGGAAGATGGCAGGGGGAGTAGGGATTGACAGAGAATAGGTGGAAAAAAGGGGAGGGAAGGACAAGTGGAGGGCAGAGGAGAAAAACAATGTCAGAAGATGAATTGGACTGACGCTTGCAGTCACTTGTTACTGCATATCTACATACAGACACATTCATTTATCAACCATTTCACTTTGCTGCTTGCCTCATGTGATGTGTTTGTTTTGACTTAAAAAAGGACCTTACCAAGTTTTTGAATGTTTTGTGCTATTTACTACAGTCCATTTACACTACAGGCAGCCATTTTCTTCCTTTCATTTACTAGTTAATCTAGATTAATTTGTTTGAGTTAGGTAATGCTCCACAGTGAAAGATGGCTTTTTCTGCATACATTTATATGTGGTTGGGTATCATATAATATTCAAAATCAAAAGGTATGGTTCTTCAGCTTTAACTCTAACATTACTCAGTTAATTAAACTATCCATAGTCACGACTGACAGTCACGCATCTACACGTGTTGTCTCACCTTTAATTTTATAATTTGATCCACATCTTAAAAAGGTTAGATAAAGAAAGCACAGCTGTTAGGCAGTGTGTTCATCTCTTACTCTGTACAGTCCACTGAAAGGCACGTCGATGGGCAGAGAGAACAGATTTTTGATCATTTCCTCGAAAGCTTCCACCAGCTGCTGCTCGTCCGTCTTGATCTGCTCCGGCTCAAAGCCCAGGAGGATCCTCATGGCTATGCGGAACATCAGCCGCTTCATCTCTGGGTAGACCAGTATGCAGGAGTCCTTGGCCACCCACTCCCTCACTGCAGCCCGCACCTCCTCCTGAATGACGGGGACATAGAGCTCCAGAGCCTCGGTGGAGAAAGCTCGCATGATGGCCTGGAGGAGGGCATACCATTATCCTTATAAATTTCTCACTTTCTTATTATGTTGTCTTAGTACATTACAAACATCTCATTTTCAAGTAATTTATTCATAATTCAGCCCTTAGTTTATTTTCCTTTGAGCAAGGGAAAGAGTCTGCCAGTACATTATGAATATTTCAAAGTGCCAATCTATTTATTTCAAGCATTTTCAAAAGTTACTTGTACTTCTATTGTACTGTATTAATATGCAGACACTACTTTATGTGAAATCCTTAACATAAAGTTGTTTTGACTGAAAAATGTTTTAACTGTAGAAGCAGAGTTTTTCACTTGTGTACAGAAAATTAAGTGTTTAAACTCCAATGATCACAAATGACTCTGGCTACTTATTTGTTCAGTGATTATCAGACACAGTATTGAAAAGATTATTTGTTACTTAATGAATTTAAACAATTACAACAATTATGGTAGTTGCAGTGATCCCTAAAATAAATTAAGATCAAGCAAGCAAGAGGAAGAAAATAATATTTGCTCCTCATTTTACTGACAAATCTATCAACTATAAATTTACTTTAAGTAGACAACAGGGCATGTTTATTATTTTAAGAGTTAATAGTCGTTTCAAACTGTGCTGAGCAAATGGTAACGCAAAAGTAGATCATGTATCCACTTCCGAGACTGTAGTTTCACATCACACTGAAATTAAAACAAGGAGGCTTTCAGATGAAATCCTAACTTACCTTTTTCTTAGTCTTGTGTTGCGCTCCGTGCACGTTAGACAGTGTATCCGAGCCCAGGATAGTGCGCACAGAGGCGGGCCACTGCACGGACACGAGCCTGTGCTCCCCCAGCAGAATCTGCCTGACGTTATCCGCTCCGGTCACGCGCACCGTGGGATTCCCGAAGAGGTGTGTGCGGTAGATGTAACCGTACTTCTGCCGCTTCATCCGCAGAAACTTTCTCCTCTGCAAACATGGATACGCATACAAACCAGTGCAAAACCATGAATAAACTGACACTGATACAGCTCTGTAGATCATACAGATAAAACCCTACACACAACGCAAAATCTGAATAACAAATAAAATGTAAACATCAATGTTTAAAATTAACAAACAATACAACGGTCATTAATTCACAGATTATAATTTTTAAAATTGGATTTAGCCGTCTTATAATGGTACACTTCAATTAAAATTGCATATTGGCGTACATTTAATAGATTTTTAACCCTGTAGATGCCATAAGTGTCGCATGGAAGTGCAGAAAGTTAAAACCAGTGCTATTTATTAACCAACATGAGAACAGACAAACGCCATCTAAGTTTAAAATCACATTTCCTCTAAGTGTCAGGAGCATCCTCATCCACGTGTGGGTGTGTGAGAGTAGCACTCAGTAAGTGAGGTGCGTTTACCTGGAGAATGAGCTGCAGCGTCTCTCCAATGAAGGGTAAGCCCATGGACCCGGGGGGCAGCGGGCTGGGGCAGCTCTGGTCTCTGCCTCGGATCATGTAAACCTCCCACAGCTTCAGCGCCACCAGAAACAGCAGGATGGGAAGGACGATGGTGCACAAAAAGGTGGCGAGCAGTGTGTTCAGAGCCATGTTAGCAGCGGCGTCTTGTTGGAGGAGCGGTGCAGTTCAGGTGAAGCTCTCTGTCAGCTACGGAGACTGCAGTCTGTTCACCCAGCGCCTTTTATAGGCTGCCAGGACTGCGTGCAGCCTGTTACCTTCTCCTCCCTCAGATAAATTAGTTCACTCAAAGTTCATCTTTAATTGTGGGTGTCGTTCGGCCCCGCCTCCGGCCTGTACTGGCTGACTTGCCTCACCATTTGTTCCAGGGGCCGCATCCTTAATCCCTACCTCCTGTTGCACGCAGACAATCCGCGGCGGATTTCACTGAGAAAAGGTGATGATTCCCTCCGAGACAATGGAAGCGCGTCCCAAGACGCCTTTGTTGGCAATACGGCAGCTAGTTTACACACTCATTACCTTGGCTTAAGCCCTGCTTGTGGGATCAGTAATGATGCCTGCAGGGCGGCCTGTATTCAAGAGCAAAAAGCTTTTTAAGCAGCACATTTTCAGATGCTTCAGTAAATGGAAAAGAGGCTCCGGGTTGGAGAATGTCTTAATCCTTCTCCCCTTGGGTCCCACTGGTCTCAGCATACTTTCCATTTTATTCCAGTTTCGTTATTTTACATGCATGGAAACACTTTTAATCATTGGTTGCAGATGCACACAGATTTCAGCATGTTGCTGGATCAAACCTGATCCATCTCTGTTGCCTTCGCGATGTCTCAGTATAACAATGAGACAGCATCTGACTATGAGAGATGAAATGATTAACACCTTGCTGGAAAGCAGCGTTGCCCTCTACTTGACTCCGGGCTTCTATCAGTCTGCCTTCAGATTGAACCTCTTCCTAATCTACAGGAAGACTTTGACCTGCTCTCAGTCCTACCGCATGTGTGTGTGTCTGTGTGTTATAAAAATGATATCTCTCTCGGTGGGTTCAAACTTGGGTCAGTAGAGACAGGCGGAGGGACGCGCGCACGCACGCACTTGCACGCACAAGGTTATCCCCGGGCTACGCCGCATGAAAAGTAAACACCGAGCTGAGAAGGCGCTCATCTGCCGAGCCACCACATCCTCACTCTGCATTTGGCCTCTTGTTTTTTTACGAGCTGCCATAACGACAGGACGTGTGTTTATGTGTGTGTGGCAGGGCCTATCGGTCAGTCAGAGGGAGACAGTTTGGCTGCTGCTTTTACAGCGACACATTACATGGACGGATCTGTCTGTTCTGGCTGACCGTGTACGTTTTTAAAAGAGTGCGCCCTGAGGTTCACCCCGGTGGTAAGGCACGGCAACTATCACCATTACAGTCACACAAAAGCCTGGACATATAATCTGATCTCCCATCATGGCTTGGATGTAAAAATCCATGACTTTTATTTTGACTTTCTGCTAATTACAAGCAGGGCTGTAACACTGGGGACATGTCTGATTTTTTTCGGGGAAATTAGGGTTTCACCAGCTAGACTTACTCAGGGGCCAACATTAATGAAATGAGTAAATGCACGGTTTATTATTTCTCCACCAGAATTTCATTCCTAGCAGCTTGGGGAATTAGACATAACACCCAGGGGGGCCTGGGGCAAAGTTTTGTTTTGTGGCCCCAACTGACCCCCACTTCCTTTCACTCTCTGTGCAATGTGTGCTGTTTCTCTTATACCCCTTTTCCACCAAAATAAGCACATCCTGGGTTTTTTTTTGACATAGGTCAATCTGCAAAATTAGGCTATACACTGCCTTGCCACTGCCAGTAGACCAGAGATGTGTACATGGCTCTGCAGCAGACAAGTATAGAGGAGTTTACACTTCTGCACTGAATGATGCAGTAATCTGTGCTGCAGCCTGACCTGCACCTCCCAGAAATGTAACTACACGTCACCGCAACACAGACCTCCTTTCTATTTTTGTAAGCTGAAAACCAATTCCCTCAATGGAAAGGAAGCTTTTATTTACTTTAATTTCAGAGATAACAAACAATAAATGTAGTATTTGTTGGGAAAATGTGTCCAGCAAAAGGCAAAGTTTTGTCTGTGAATACTGTAAGTTATAGTGAGGTTTAATGTGTGTTTTAGGTGTGTTTTGAATCAACTCAACTTTACAGCACTTCAGAGAAATCCCACCGCCAACTAGTGTTTTGGAGATGTAACTGCAAAGTAACACAGACCCACCACCACACAAGTATAAATGCTCACAATGGTGTAGACATAGACGTAGACTCTGTTTACAAGTCATTCTTTTTACTTAATGCTTATAAGTGATCACTATGTCAAATTTCCCTATATTCACAAACCTCAGATAATTTATTTAGGTGCCCACTTTTTCCTTGCTGGAATTCATCTTAGATTATGTGACATTCAATCAAGAACAACAGAATATTTAACATGAATACTGTTATTTTGACTTTATGTAATTTTCATCTGTTTGAGGGAAGCTTTAAGGACTTGAGTGTGAGCTCTGAAACCTCTGAAGGTCTAGTGATAAAAAATGACATAAATGTATTTAGTTAACAGGATGTGGTACTGAAAACTGACAACAACATCAGGGACAGTATTAATGTACTAATCCTTGTTTACTGTCTGTGCTCAGACAGGCAACAGTGGATGATGCATGTTCAGGGTGAATGGGTTTCCAGCTGGTCATGCTGTAGCTGGCGAGTTTTTCTCATCACAATGTGAATGTGTGAAACAGGATTCTGCTGTTCAGGTGTGATAAAGCAGGAAGGAGGAGGAGGAGGAGGAGGAGGGGATGGCTGGGTGAAGGGAGGTTCAAGTGTGGAGAATGATTCCTAGGTCTGCACCTCGCCTTGCTACTCCATAAACTCACCATAAACCTGCTGATCACCTGCTGGACTCACCTGAAAGTAGCACCAGAAACCTTCACCTTTACTGTTGTCACATGCACAGTTCTGGAACACTTAAATTGCAATTGACAGTATCTCAATTGTGTTTTTACCAAGACTGTATAACACTTTTTACTTACAGACTGAAAAAGTCAGCTAATTTGCAGAATGCAATGAAATGACAACATTCATTCTCCCCAAAGGATGAACCTTTTTACTAAATGAACTTTCCTCTAGCACTAGCAACATGACAAAATATCACAAATAGTTTAGAATTTATTATTATTATTACAAGGGGAAAACATTGTAGCATTTGTAACATTTACAACAAGTAAACGTGTTTATTCACAAATTTCCTTATTGATACATGAATAATTGTTACATATCAAAGTAAAAGTATTCATTCTGAAATTATTGATGTGTTTACAGGTCGCAGCATTCTGGTGGACGTCTTCATTTATTATTAGGTAGGCCTATAGTTTACACCAAAATATTATATTTATGAGCTTATCATGTATTTTATAATTGAACTGTTAGTTTCCATAGAACATAGTACAGCTGTGCATAACTTACTGCATTGGGCAAAGTATAGTTACTCTGAAATTCAGTAGAGTAACAGTATAGATAGAGTATATAGAAATAAATTGTCACTTATCAGTAACATTAAACTGTAATTAAATATACTACCTGTGTAAATGTATCTAGTTATTTCCAACACTGTTGAGATGATGAAAGCTCAAGCAGCGTGTCTCTGTTCCAGAACAATTACAGCTGATACACTGATGACGAATTCACTCAGCTATCTGTTAATGTGTTGACTGTTATCATTACTCATACAAAACACACACACACACACACACACACACACACACCTGTAAAGAGCGCGCATTCAGCACAAGTGCAGTGGCGCGTGCACACGTGTTTGTATCTCTCCTCCCCCAGCTCGCATGCTGGCTGACCTGCTTGTAACCCTGACATTTCAGTGAACTCTCACGCTCAACCAAGTTCACTGTCCATCAAACACACACACACACACACACACACAGAGAAAGGGAGGGAGGGAGGGAGAGAGGAGAGAGAGGGTGAAAACAGAGAGAGAGAGAGGAAGACAGAGAATAGATAGCGAGAAAGTATAGAGAGAGGGAGAGAGAGAGAGAAAAAAAGAGAGGTTGGGAAAAGAGGCTTTGACCTTTAACCCCCTTTAGTAAAACATGTCTACCAAGCACAACGTAGTGCATTTTACAAAAATGCTACAGCAAATATGTCCTTTTGCATGCCCCTATGGCAGATAAAACTTGATAAAATGCCCTCTATGGTGGCCCAGTGTACAAGAATATTTATATATGAATATTTATATATGAATATTAAAGTGCTTTCTAGGGTGCCCTTCCAGTGGAGAGAATGTAATGAGGTGCCTTTTAGGGAGCCCATCCAGTGGAGAAAATGGGATGAAGTCTCCTCCAGGAAGCCCTTCCAATGGAGAAAATGTAATGACGTGCCCTCTATGATACCCTTCCAGTGGAGAAAATGTGATGAAGTGCCCTCTAGTGTGCCCTTCCCATGGAGAAAATGTAATAAAGTGCCCTCTAGGGTGCCCCTCCAGTGGAGGAAATGTGATGAAGTGCAACCCAGGGTGCCCTTCTAATAGGGAAAACGTGATTAAATGCCCACTAGGTTACCCTGGAGAAAACGTGAAAGGGTACCCCTTCAGTGGAGAAAATGTGATGGGGTTTACCTTCCAGTGGAAAAAAAATGAAAGGGTACCCCTTCAGTGAAGGAAATTTTATTAAGTGTCCGCTAGAGAAAACGTGACAGGGCACTCTTTCAGTGGAGAAAATGTGATGAAGTGTCCTCTAAGGAGCCCTTTTAGTGGAGAAAATGTGATGAATCACCCCTTAGGGTGCATTTCTAGTGGAGAAAAACATGACTGGGTGCCCTTTCAGTGAAGAAAATGTGATGTATCACTCTTAAGGGTGCACTTCTGGTGGAGAAAATGTGACAGGGCACCCTTTCAGTGGAGAAAATGTGATTAAGCGTTCTCAAGGGTGTCCTTCAATAGGGGAAACATAGTGAAATGCCCTCTGGGATCCCCCTTCAGTGGAGAAAACATGGTGTCCTCCAGGGTGCCTTTCCAGTGGAGAAAATGTGATGAAGTGTCCTCCAGGGTGCCCTTCCAGTGGAGAGAACTGATGAGGTGGCCTCTAGGGTGCCCTTCCGGTGTAGAAAATGTGAATGGGTGCCCTTTTAGTGGATAAACCGTGATGACACTTTCTCAAGGGTGTCCCTCTATTGG